GGAAGCCATTCGCCTGCCGCTTCTGTGCCAAGCCCTTCCGCCGCTCCTCGGATTTGCGGGACCACGAGCGCGTGCACACCGGCGAGCGGCCCTACCACTGCGGCGTGTGCGGCAAGGGCTTCACGCAGTCGTCGGTGCTGAGCGGCCACGCGCGCATCCACACCGGCGAGCGCCCGTTCCTCTGCGCGCTCTGCGGCCGCGCCTTCAACAACTCCTCCAACTTCCGCAAGCACCAGCGCACGCACCTGTCGGGGCCCCGAGACATAGGGGGCCCCCCGGGCGGGGCCCTGAGGCCGACGAACAGCCCCGGGACGGTGAGCGCCGAGGCGGGCCCGCCGCGGCTCGGGGGCGCGGGTTTGGATCCAGGCCCCGGGCTCGCTCCACAGCAGACGCCCCGAGGGCAGGGACGCGGCCACTGACTCAGGGCGTGTGGCGTGCCCCGCGGCCCCTCCCCCGCCCCCCAGCTCCTGTCGTCCTTGGACAGTACGGCCTCGTGGGGCTGCCACCATGGAGGGGCTGCCACCATGGAGGGACAGCAGGAGCAGGGACCCCCAAAGACCTTCATCCCCAGCCCTGGTGGTGCCGAGATCCCAAGGCCCGCCTACCTCACTGGATTGCACTTATCTCCATCCGGGGCGGCCGGCGTGGGCTCCAGGTCTCCTCACCTCAGCCTCCAGAGCAAGGCTGGAGCGGGATCTCCATGGCGCCCCTCCCCGACACTGCGGGCCCTGCTTCCCGGGCCGGGCTAAGCGTGGCCCTGGGGCCGCCTGGGTGCAGAATCGAGGACGTGGGGGCGGCAGGTGGGAACCCCAGGTCTGTTGGATTAAATGGCTTTCGGGAGCTTCTGTCTGTCTTGTATGCAGGAGCCGCCTGGCTTCCCCCACAGGAGGGATGGACACGGGGCGACCATCAGCAAGTTCTGCGCCGTCCTCCAGGTCGGTGGACGGTTCTGGTTGTCTGGAGGTGGTTTGGCTGTGGCAGCGGGACCTGGGGATTGGGGCACTATGGACGCCTACGGCTGCGGTAACCAAGAAGTGACTGGCCCCACTAATGGACACCTGTGGCTGGCGGTCAGGCCCCAGTTTGTCCTTCAGAGCAGCTGCCAGCACCTCCGTGCCCCCCTTGCTCCCAGGCAGCTGGGACTTGGTACAGTTCATCCCCCCCTCTTCCCACCTGCACCTCAGCCCAAGCTGAGCAGAGCCACTAAACGGCCCTGGAGCCCTGTGCCTCGTCCACCCCCGTCTCTTTCCTGTCCAGCCGTTCAGTACTTGTGGAATCTGAAGGCTTCCATCATCCCCCATCTTGTGTCTCAGCTGTGGGGCCCCTGGGCCTCAGAGGCCTGACCTTCCACAAGAAGCCTTGTCACTGTCACCAGAACACAGTACCTCCAACACCGACGGGGTCAAAGGAGAATGCCAGCAGGAGTTCGGTGGTGTGCTCTCTCTCTCTCACATACACACACACAGAGACACGTGCGCACGCGTGGGATCAGAGTTGTATTTAGCAGGCTTGGCAGCTGCCAGTTTCCAGCCATTAGCTTCCAAACTCTCCCCAACTCCAGTCTGAGTAAGAGCCTTCAGCACTTACGTGGAGTGCTTTCTGCACTCCTGTGGCTCTGTGCCCTGGCTCACCCTATTCTCGCCTTCACCCTATTCTCAAGGGTGACCCCCGCAGCTGCACACAGGTCTGCTTCACAATCAGAACACGGAGTCACACCACGTGAGGCCCTTGCCCACTTCTTGTTCAGGGCTAGAGCTGAGGCGCCCGAGGCTTGATGCACGTTCGGGAATCAGCCAGCTTCTGGCAGCCAGGTCCGAATCCCTCTGGTGGCAGCGAGGCAGGTCTCAGTGTGGCATCAGGGGCCCTGTGCTCCCCAGCGCGGGCGGCGGGAGACAGGAAAACTAGGGCTGCCGCCCGCGCGCCTGCACGCAGCTTCCCCACCCCAGGTCGCCGCGATACTCCTCAGCAGCCATGTTAATAACATTTATTGTTCTCTGCTCTGTACAAGCCTCGTCTGGCACCCACCCCCCACCCCAATCCAAGAGCACCCGGACCCCACCCCAGGCCTCCCAACTGCGACTTGCTCCATCCAGCCGGACTGGGGGGGTGGGGGTAGCGGAGACTCACCTGGAGCAGGTCTGCTGGGGAGAGAATGCGCGTGTCCACTGGGACGCGAAAAAGTCAAGAAACGTCCAGGGCCGTGGAGCGGGGCCTCAAGTTCAGAGGGGTGGCGGGAAGAGGGGCTGGAGCGATCCGCAGCTGCGCGCAGAAGGGGTAGGGGGGGAGAAGGGGCTTGACGGCGGTCAGGGGTCCTTCCCGGGCAGGGCGGTGGCCGCGGCCCCGGCCCCCCCGAGGCCCTCGGCCTTGTGCACCAGGCGGTGCTTCTTCAGGCCGTAGGTGTTGGCGAAGCCCTCCCCGCAGGAGGAGCAGCGGAATGGCCGGCCGCCCTGGTGGGCAGCCAGGTGCTTGCGGAAGTAGCCAGGGTCCTTGAAGGCCTTGAGGCAGGCGGGGCAGCGTAGCTCAGGCCTTGGTGGCTCGTGCGCACGCTGGTGACGCAGCACAGAGCTCAGGTAGAAAAAGCCCTTGCCACAATGCTCGCAGCGGTAGGCACGCTCGCCCAGGTGCAGCCGCTGGTGCTCCAGCAAGTTGGAGCGGTAGCGGAAGGTCTTCCCACAGGCGCCGCAGCGCTGCGGGCGCGCCACGGCGTGCAACCGTCGGTGCTCCGCCAGGCTGGACGACTGCGCGAAGCGCTTGGCGCACACGCCACACTTGAATGCGCGCTCGCCGGTGTGCACCACGCGGTGCTGGCGCAGGTACCACGAGCGCAGGAAGCCGCGGCCGCACACGCCGCAGCGGTAGGGCCGCTGCTCTGTGTGGCAGCGTTGGTGGCGCATCAGCAGCGCCGCCTCCCAGAAGCGCTTCCCGCACACCGGGCAGCGGAAGCCGCGCTTCTGCCGGTGGCTGCGGCGGTGCAGGAGCAGGTCATAGGCGCCAGCGAAGCTCTGCCCGCACAGCCCGCAGCCCAGCGTCCGGCGCACCAGGTGCACGTACTTGTGCGTAACCAGGCCCAGGAAGTGCTTGAAGCTCTGCCCGCACGTGGCGCAGCTGAAGCGCTCTGGCCCCGCCCCACCGGCCCCGCCAGCCGCCGCAGGCCCGCTCGTGTCCTCCGTCCCGGGGGCGCCGGCCAGCGCTGCCACCGCCGCACCCACCTCCCCAGCCAGCCCGTGGTCCAGCGCGCCGCCCGCTTCAGAACCCGCGGCGGGGCCATCCGCAGCCTGGGGCCCGCCCGGAGCGGGGGCCAGCAGGCGCTCAGGGGCCGCCTGGTGCACCAGCTTGTGCCACATGAGGTTCTCGATGAAGCCAAAGGTTTTGCCACAGGCATCGCAGCCATAGGGCTTCTCAGGCATGTGCGCCTCCTTGTGGCTCATCACGTGGAACAGGTCCGGGAAGTGCTCGCCGCAGTCTGAGCACGCGTAGCTCAGCGCTTCGGCTGGGGCGCCGGCGGCAGCGGCTCCCGGCCCGCAGGCCCCAGGCGCCGTGGGGCCACCTGCCAGGGCGCAGGGCAACTGCAGGCGGTGCACCTGGCGGTGGCGGGTAAGACTCTGCGGGTAGCCGAAGACCTTGCCGCACAGCTCGCACTTGTAGGGCCGCTCGCGCGTGTGCACCACGTGGTGCTTGCTCAGGTGGAAGGACTCGCGGAAGCGCTTCCCACACACTGGGCACTGGTGCGGCTTTTCACCGGTATGGATTCGCTCGTGGCGCTTCAGCGTCTCGCGGCGGCCGAAGCCGCGCCCGCAGATGCCGCAGCAGAAGGTCTTCCCGGGGCCACCGGGGCCCG